AAATACTTTAAGTATAATATTATAATAATAAATTACAATAAATATTATAATATACTTAATATTATATCACATGACTTTAGAAATATATCGAAGACAGAATTTTAACTGTCCCAACTTTCTACTGGATGTTTCCATTATTAGTTGCAGCGATTCACAGATATGAAGAACCTAATTTAAAGTTTTGTAATACAATTTACAATCTATTTTGAACACTATTGCTTCCACAAAGTTAATGACAATAACTCTACATAATACTACATAATAAAAACATAATGGAATAAGTGTTTTAATATTTCTCATTATAAGCCCCAACTATTTAAAGCAAATATAACATAATAACAAATTTCACGTATCCTGTAATAATATATATAAATTGGACACTGCAGAAAGAAATAATGTTAAATGCTCAAACACTTACATACGTGGTCTTAAGACACTTAAGAGGGGTCGCGTATCTGATTATATATAACTTGAAAAATGTCAACGCAATTTTTGTCGTTCTTAATCTAAATTGTCGCTTAGCCTCAACGTGGCACCCCTGGACAATTATCTAGCACCCGCTGGCTAATGAACTAATAGTGCGAGTTGGCTTTTAATTTGGGTTGCCTATACTGGTGTTCTGGTGTCTTTTCTACGAACATTGGTTAATATGTAGTATAGAGAATACTATGTGGTAGGCCGAGCTTGGTCCCATGCTAACCTACAGTATAGACTCCTATTAAAACAGATATTAACCTAGACACTTTTGATTTGTTTCTGTGTACCAAGTCAAAGTAAAATAGACAAGTCACCCTTTACCTGACTAGTAAAAACGTATGAGCCCAGAAAACCATGGTAGGTACTATTGTAGATATACAAATATATTAAGCAATGAAATTATTGTATAACACGATATTTACTTGCCTTTGTGAATATAATAATGTAACGACTTAGACTTACACCTACAGGAATGCAACAATTACTTCAACTGCTAATATTTAGAATTAAACAAGCAACCATATTAGTATTTTATCACGCTTCTTAAGACCTGCTTTTAAATTTTAAAAATGATTACAATTTACACAGAACTTTTTCCTTTTAAGTCTTCGAGTACATCTCACAGATCTGTTGTATATTTAAAATAATCATTGTTGAAGTATTTATTGTTAATCCTGACTAATATTGTCCTAATCAAATAATAATAAGATTATTGGTGTATTAATAAGAGGGATCTCTTATTCATTCCGTGTTTTCATAATGTTTTTTTTTATTTTATTTTTTTTCTTGATTGAATAATATTAAACCATTTTACTTTCCGAAATACTTCCACGACGACAACGCTTTCAATTCGGGTCACATATTTAAGAATACGTTACTATTAAGATAAGAAAACTTCGACATATATATTCTTTTACAGACAGATTCTAATGTAATATATTAATATAAATATATTTTATGTATACATATATATATATACATGCATATATTCACACAAGGTGTTTCTTAACAAAAATTTAGCAGATATGTTCTTGTTCCAAGAAACAAAAAGTAAATCGTCTGTTAGAACTGATTCATTGCTCTATTAAGAGAGATATAAAGTATGAAAGAAAAATGAAGACAAATATCTCATTTGATTTTTCGCTTTCTTGAATAATATTATTTGAAAAAACACCCTGTTTAAACATATATATGTAGACATATTTGATATTAAAATATACATTTTACTTTGCACTACAGAAATATTCTTATCAAGAAGCACGCGTTTCCTCAAGCATATACTTATGCATTTATACAAATATGGATTTGTATCTATACAAAGTATATTATGTATGAACACAAATACATAAACTTACTCTAGACTATATTTTCTTAAATTTTGTTTTCCTATATAAAGAATCTTATCTTCTCTAGAATGTGTTTCTAAGGCTAATAAACTTTTTACAAGATGTGGGCATGTACCATCAAATTATTTCTAAAAGTATTATTTTTAACTAAAATATCAAAATATATAATTTGAAAGACCTACGATAACCTGTAACCCAAAGACTTTAAGTTTTAATCATATTTGTGGAGCATTTATTGATAGGAATATGTACATATGATGGGTTAATAACATATGTATTATATATATATTTTAAATGGTGAATAAAAATTATATACTATGAAATATAATTATTATTTTATATATATTGAAAAGTAATATGAAACCCTGCTTAAAAGCAAAAACTTGATTCGAACACCTTGCCCAAGTAAGCATTTTACTTCGGAGACTTTTACTTAAAAGTGTTGAACGTGCAAATGGGAGCAAAGTCAATGTATCTTATGTCAACCGCAGACATATGACGCGGCAAACGTTGGCAGTTCATCAATTTGAACCTTTTTTCCATTATAAACAGTTTCTTTTTAATTCCTTTTATTTTATTTTATTTTTTTTTTTCGTTTATTTCACATTTTTCAGTTTTCAGTTTTCAGTTTTATGTATCTTTCGGGTCTATCGTTGCATTCACATGGTTGATGTGTGTACAAAATAAATTAAGGAGAAAATTAACAACAAAAATTGTAATACAAACTAAAAAAAGGCAGATAAGATTGCTGCATTTTTTTAAGAACCGGACTAATTTTTATGATGTCGTTGGACGAGGTTGCCTGAAGTTTATGTGCATTCGTTATTCAGCATACAGCATAGAATACGATGCCCCATACAAACTTATACCACATGTATCCGTATTTTAGAGATTCATTCATACAATCGAACAAAACATTTCAAACATAAACGACAGTAGAAGATATCCACACAGCATAAGAATAAATAAGATAAGATTTTGAAACCAATACACTAATAGATACTTTTTATTGTATCTTATAAATGCATTGTTTAAAAAAATTTTCAATTGTTATACAATTTTTTTCTCTTTTGCTTACCTGTCCGAAATCAATTGTCAAGTTTACTTCATTGAATTTCATACCACGAGATAATGGAGGCGATTGCCACCAGGCCTCAGTACCGTCAATAGCAAACTCTGGTGCATGATTCTTTTCGGGCACATTTGGATCACAATAATC